CAGTAGGTATAGATACTTATTTCTTTCTTTTTTATCAAACGAGTTTATTTCCAGTTTTTCTCTTTAAAAGGGTTCGAATTACAAAACGCAAATTTTTGAGTCGACTCATGAATAGTGTCGCATTTCAGTAAGGGTTGTAGACTTTACGAACCCCAATTAGAGGGTTGTGTGACTATTGATGACTTTGTGGTCTTCCTAGAAATGTAGGTCAAAAGTTATTAACGCCAGTCCAGTGATGTACCTACTTAATTTACATATCGATTCAAACATGTATTTAGAAAATTATTGTTTAAGATGCTAAAACACTGGCAGAAATCAACTTAAATAGGTGTCAGAAATTGATGGAATGTTGTTGAATATAGCGGTAGAACTTTTAGTCTTAAAATGGGCTTTAAAAATTCCTAGACTCACAAGGTTTTAAATATGTATAGATCGTTGGGTAAAAATCGATTAGATTTCTCTCATAACTAAGTTTTAAACACCCTGTAATGCAGAAAAGTTCCCCGCGATATGATATAAAAAAAGTTTACTACTAGTTTACCTATTGAATAGACCTTATATTGAAAAGGACCTTATCGAATTTCAGCGAACTTTTTTTGAACGTTCAACTAGTTTGCCTACAAGTTTTCGATACAAAGGAAGTCAATTTTAAGCCAGTTAACTAACGGTTTTGAACTGGGATAAAATAGTCGCAACATTATTAAATAATATCGTGGAAACTTGACAAAAGAAACACTTTCAAAAGAAAAATAAGTTATCTACGAAACTACTCCTAACCTAATTATTTAACTTCCACGCTCTACGATTTGTCACTACTTACAACAGTAGATCATAAAGTAAACCAACATCCATTTATAAACAAGAGAAAACGTGGATAAAATAAATCAGGGGTACGAATAAAATCAGCTAGTATATTAACGGCAACAGTGTATATAACGGCGAGGATTTTACCAGATATTCGAGTATTATTTTTAATCTTTGTCAGTGGCGGCTCGTCACTAAAATATTGGGGTTCATAATAAACTTTCAGTGTTTATTATAAGGTATAATATACCTTTCTAAAATACGAAAAGTTTTTTACCTACGACTGTGCTGAGACCTATATTCTGTCAGTGTGAACCCCAATATTTTGGTTACGAGCCACCACTGTTCTTTTGATTGTAGCTACAGTATTTATATTCGAAGGCTGTGACCGTAATGAACGTGAAAAAGAGATCCATTAGGTTTTTGAAAAATTGAAGTACGTTATATATAACGTCTGTCAAAATATGTTAACCCCTTACCGCATACTGTGCCATATTTGGCACACGTTCAAAATTATTATTTTTTCTAAGTTTCCAAAGAGTTTGTGATGTCAACTCAAGTTGTCCCATATCTGGCACACTCGCTTGTTCACAGGCAGCCGCCAAATCCTCTCCACTATCGTACGCGCAAATTTGATGAATCATTTAGTGAATATATGGCTGGTGATAGCTTATTGGGGGCAAATTCAAAAAGAATATTTTTGTTCTTTTGGCCTAATTTCATAAGGGTAAGTGATGACTAAAGTCGTACAAAACTTTTTTCCATATAAAAACAAGAAAAAAAGTTTCTTTGTTTACTTGTGCCATATTTGGAACAAGATGAGATAAAGATAATATTTGTGTTACGGATTTTTTGTTTTACAGTTGAATACCAAGAAGTTCTCTGGAAAGTACAAATTTCAATGATTAATGGGAGTGATAATGAGAATTTACCTTCCGATGATGACCATCGAAAGAATGAACTAATGAGTCTCATAAAACCTACAAAAATTTTGTGTGAGTTATCAAATAGTGAAAGCAATGCTTCATCAACTAAAGAGGTAATTATCTGAAACTGACAGTGACAGCGAATACGAAATACGGCTCTCTACATTACGACAATCTAATCGAGATAAGCATAGTGATATAAATGTTCCCTCGACATCTAAATCTCATAGTGATACAAATTTACCATCGACATCGACTAGCAAAAAATGTAAAAATCACAACACAAAAAATGGGAAAAGAAGTTGTTTGGCAGAATAGGTTCCTTGCTGTTACTGAAGAATTTGTGAAATTCAAAGGAGATGAAACACTTCCAATTTTCATACAAGAACTCGAAGATCCCATTCAGTTTTTCGATTTTATTTTCACTGACGAAATTTTTACTTATATAGCTGAACAGTCAAACTTTTTTGGTGTGCACAGTAGGCCTAAAAAACCGCATTTTTTGCGGTATTTGCATATACATGTCAATTATTCAACTCCCTTCAATCAGGTCCTACTGGAACCAATCGTTAGATAGTCCCTGCATCTCACGTGCTATGACCTGCAATAGATTTGAAGAAATCAAACGATTTCTTCACTTCAATGACAACACACGCCAGGTTCCCCAAGAGCAGCCAGGTTATGGTAATCTTTTCAAAATACGTCCATTGCATATGGCCGTGGATGGACAAATTATTTCGACAAAAGCTCGATCAAGTCTCAAACAATATAATCCCAAGAAACCTCATAAATGAGGATACAAGGTTTTTGTTCTAAGTGGGGTGGTTGTCTGGATTTTCTTACGATTTCGACTTTTATTGTGGACCTACTATTCTTGAAAATAATCAACCAGATCTAGAAGCAAGCAGCAATGTTGATGTAAAATTTTCAGAATCAATTCCGATCTAAACTACGAATTATTTTTTGATAACTGGTTTACAAGCATTCCTCTACAAATATACCTTACCAAAAAGTAAGAGGAAATCGTGTCCATAATTTCGAATTCCCTAAGGAAGCGGCTATGAAACAAAAAAAAAAGGTAGAGGTACAGTTATTGAAGCAGTGGCTAATGTGGATGGTGTGGACATATCTGTTGTTTCAAAATTTGTGAACAATATGTCAACATATGTTGCCTATAAACAGATTCTGCAAAAATCTAGGACACATAGAAATCACCCGCCCTCAATGTGTTGCTGTATATAATGCTTATATGGGGGGAGTAGATCTTCTCGATTCTATGTTAGGATACTACCGAATCCAAATTCGATCCAAAAAGTGGTACATGAGGGTATTTTTTCATTTCCTGGATATGATATGCGTCAATAGTTGGATACTGCAACCATAAAAAATAATGATTTATACCTACCACTTTCAGAATTCAAACTTGGTATCGCAGAAGTTTTGACCAGAGCTTATAGTTCAGAAAGAAAAAGGGGAAGACCAAGTACCAGCTTACAACCTCAACTGGATCTCAAAAAAAAAATATCCTTTTTCGCAGATTCCAGCTCAGGAAATAAGAATGAACAACTTGAATCATTTGCCAAGAGTAAGTGAAGAACGACAGAGGTGCAAATATCCAGATTGTAAGGGAAAATCCCAGTTATTATGTGGCAGATGTTCAGTATTTTTATGTCTAAATAAGGACCGCAATTATTTAGCAATTTCTACATGAAATAGGGTAAGATTTTCACTCTTTTGTTGAGATAAAATCTATTTTTTAAAAATAAATCTGAATTTATACTTATTATTTTTGTTTTATTTCCGAAATTTGTGCCAAATTTATCAGATATCAAAAATTAACATTGTTACTGTTATCTCATTTTGTGCCAAATTTGGCACAAGTCAAAGTTTGACATTTATTTCCTTTAAATATCGATAAAATATTTTTTTCACTATTTTTTCTAACTCCTAATCAATCATATATTTTTTTGACAAAAAAATAAAAAATTATGCAGTAAGAGTCAATTAGACTGTATCAAAAAATATATAGGGTACCATTTAAATAATGACAGTAAAGACAGATTTGATACCTAATTTTTTTCAACATTTTACTTCGTACCGTAATAGAAATGAGGGAAAAAACAAATCTAAAACATCCGTTATAGTTGAAAGAAAAAATACCGTACAAATCAAAATTTCACGCTTTTGTTAGAACTAGAGTAAAATTTCAAGTCTACCGCTAAGACCAATTTGGGTACAAGACCTTTATCATGCCTTCGGTGGCAGCAGTGCCCCGTCAACAGGGCGTCGATTGTCTGAAAACCCATAAAAATAAGTTTTGGCAAGGGCACAAAGGCCTGTTACAGTTATGTAGAGCAAAAGAATAAAAACCTTTGCAGAATAAGGTTGTAAAATTTCTACAATTGCGAATTGGTCTGTATGCAAATCTACGACCAGCAGTTTATTAGTCCAGGTAGCGGACAGAAGGGCCTAACTGTTTTATACCCAAAAATTTGCATTTTGTGCGATAAAATTCCAAGAAGGAAACTAAAAACTAGAAATATCTTCACCGGGACGCATCATCCAACAAAATATAAATTATCTTCTTTTTACTATACTTACGTACTAAATTTTTTATTTACAAACATGGTAATAAAGTAAAATATATAAACTTAAGGAAGAGAAAAACTGGAACAAACGATTTGATAAAAACTAATCAAACATTGAAAGTTTACGGGCTCCAAGCTGGAATCGAACCAACAATACTATTTAAGCAATTATAATTATTTTTATATATTATTTAAAAAAATATATTGGTGATTTTCAAAAATATAGATTTTCATTAAAAGCTTTAATCGTATACACATAGGGATTTGATATATTTCGATATAAGACAGCGACTCATAAAAATTTCACAAGAAACCCGTCACTTAACTGTTTTTTGATCGAAACAAAAATCCATTCACTCCTAACAATGAACTACCACTATTGTTTTGAGGAACTTGCATACCAAGATTATAATACAACTTAAAAAAATAATACTAAATCCCTGAAAATTACATATTTGGATAGTGATTTCGTCCCAAAAACATAAATGACATCTGGGTTAATTATTTTTGATTCTTTTTTCAATGTTTCATTTAATATCTACACACCTTGATTATCACTTTCAGCATATTTTCATAAACCCCTTAATATAAGAATGTCATGTACGCACCTAGGACTTGTATCCTTTTAATAATAATAATTTGACTTTTTAACATACCCGTATCTTTCACAAAAACAATTAGACTAGGTTCTACTCATTGGCCTTCTTTGCAGAAATATCGCAGTTGATTCGATATCTTCCTCTTCTTCCTTCAAACTGGGACTTCTTAATGGGGAACCTCCACTCCCAGAACTGTTGGAGTGGAGGCCCGTAGACATACTTAAGTCCTCGGGTTCCGTCTGTTCCGGAAGAGCCACCTGAAATAAAAACTCCTTTGTAACCAGTGTAAATTTATATATCATTAGCTAATGTTGCAACTTGCAACATTACAAGCTTTGTAACCAATGTTTATACGAGAGTTGATCCCTAAGCTACACTTCTTTGAATAATTACTTTATTTTCCGATATAATCGCCCCTAATATACTTGTCCCAGCGATGATTCAAAGAATTTTTCTCCAACCTTTCCAAACTATTCATTGGCAACTGACATAACGCAATTGTCACTTGATAATTTTTAGTTTCCGGAACAATCTGTAGTCACTAGGAGCTAAGACTGGTGAACAAGGTGGATGTTCTACCAATTGGAATCACGCTTGATGAATAGCAGCATTATCTTGATGGAACAGCACACCTTTACGTAATTTTTCACGACGGGGTTTCTTTTAATAACTACCTGTAATAGTAGGTACATTCTGCAGATACTCTGTCCCTTCAACATCTCAAAAAAATCCAATACCTTCCCAACAGTTGGAACCACTTTGAATTTTAGAGGTGAAGAAGACTCCCTATAATGCATAAGTTTAATAAAAGGAGTAAGACAGGCATCTAAATGGTATAATACAATAAACTAGTGAGGCTGAAGTGCCCAAGATGAGGAAAAGAAATGCTGGAATCTAAGCTTGATTGAGGGAAGCCTGTCGAAACCTCTCAGGGTTACCTGAAAGGGTGAAAAAAACCAAAATAACAAACCTGTTCAACGCCGATACATTTTGAAAAGAGTACCAAATGATCAGTAAACATTGTTATCACCCACTTTGCGCTTATTTTATTACTGCAAATATTTTATCACCGCTCTTTGTTCGACATACTATTTCTAATAACCTATATTGTCACTGGGATCAACTCTCGTATGTGGCTTATATTAATAGCTTACCTGAAGAGGATGAGACATCAACGGCTTAGAAGGCGGATGAAGCATCCTCCTTCTCTTTAACTCATCATCGTCAGAATCAGGAGTCATCTCTTTTTCAGGTACGCCGCATTTGTGGTGCAATAGATGATGCCTTCTTCTGAACCTACTCTGGCATCGTTCACAGGAAAACGGTTTTTCGTTGGTATGTATCAAAATGTGCGCCTTCAGTTGATTAGAATCTGAAAATTTGGCACTACAATGTTCACAAGTGTACGGACGTTCGCCGGTGTGGACTCTGAGATGTCTTCTAAGGTTTGCAACCTGAAAGAAATAATCGAAATTAGGTTTCGAACAAATACGTTGCAAATGAATAACCAACCTGTACAAATTGTCTATCGCAATGTTCACAGTGATACGGTCGTTCTCCAGTATGCAACCTCATGTGGGTTTTCAGGTGATGATCTCTGGTAAACCTTTTGTGACATTCAGGACATTCAAAAGGTTTTTCTCCGGTATGCGTCCTTTCGTGATTTTGTAAGACGTGTTTGTAACCAAAAGACCTGGATCAGCGAGACAAAAAGAGTAAGTAATTTGCACAATTTAATCAAGCAACGCTATTACATACCTATTGCAAACTCCACACGTGAACTGCTTATCCCTATTAGGATCCTTGATATCGGATCCAGATGGAGGTGACACACTAGACGTAGGCGAAGGTAAAGGAAGACTGGTTGGTTCCTCTTCGATTTTATATTTCCTCTTCCTAATATCTGTCATTGTACTGCTACTAACAATGTTATTGTTATTACTAATTTTCCTGGAATGCATGGCGGGTGATAGTGGTTCGTTACTAGTTGGAGGGGAGGGTGGGGAATTGGCAGGCGGGGAATTAGCTGCCCACGCGATGGGCATTAATCCGGGATGGAAAAAGGCGGGATTTCCGGATATCGATAAACCGGAAGCAGCCATTAGTTGACTAGCCATCAGGATTTGCGATGGGGTAAACATAGCGGGGTTCGGGAATGTTGGGTACCCGTAGCTGCTTTGGTGGGGTTTGATGGAGGGGTCTTCGTCTACCTTCATGTCTCTGGAAGACAGAAAATCTGTAACAAAAAAATAGTGTTTAATAAATAGGAAATATCGCATGATACATAAATTAATTACACAAATTAAGAAACTTTTAATATAATTAAGATTATTTTATTTGTGCTCATTTAAAAATGTGTTTAATTAAGAACTTTGACATTAATAAATTGAAAGTATGTGTGTCAATTCAACGATTCCCGAAAAACTTCTTTAAGGCAAGATAAATAAAAGTTTTTAAAGTTGTTGTTTTATTTAAATATAATAAAGTTTTACGAATCTAATTTGTTTTATATTTGGTTTCAGTGTCTAAGACCATCCAAAGACTACTTCAAAACGGTCTATTTTGTACCGAATTGTAAATACTATAAAGTAAGAAACAAGCAAAAAATTTGTAATTTTTTTGTTTCCCACCAAACCCGCTAAAAGGAAAAATTTGATTATTCTGATAAGGTAACTACTTGACATCATTATGGAAATGTACAATAAAAGTTTGATAAAGATAAAGATAAAAGTCTGAATCGGAAAAATGGATCAACCGGTTAATTTAATATACTCGATGAGAAATTTTACCTAAGAAATGGTATGTATATTTAAATAGTTTACCTATATAAAGTTATGTTTGCCTGTAATTATCAATTGTGTTATCCTCTAACCTACCAGAAATCTTTTATTTTAATGACATTTTTTTACTGTCTTGTTTGTTTAATTTAGTATTTTCAAAAATATTAGATTTTATTGTAATTTGGATCTCTGCAGGTATTAAGGAGGCCTGTTAAACTGCGAAGAGTATAATTTAGACATTACACTAACTAAAATATTCACTTATTAATAGTTTTAGTGCTTGAAAACAGTATGATGTTGATAATAATAACTACACTTAATGCAAACTCAAATATTAAAAAAACAGCGATATTGGCTCCTATACAAAGTTTTGAACCGAACTTATAAATGATAAAATTATTGGAAAAATTACCATGAGCCGCCCCTGGTACTTGGGCAACTTAAAGCCTCTCTAAATCTAAACTACTCACCCAAACTACTATGTAGAGACTATCAGGATTGACCAATCTCGTTTAATTTGTAAGCATTTTGCTATATATGACGTCAGCAATGGAATAAATGTTGTATTGTGTTATATGTAGATGGTTTTTTTATGTGATTTTGAAATAATTTAATACATTTTATAATTGTATATAAAGAGTATTTTGGTAAATACAACTTAGTTTTATTTAAGTTCTACAGTGCTAAATATTAATTTTTTCGAATAATTACGATGATATACGAAGTATTGAGCAATCCTTTTTTATTTATGAGCATGGTTGTCTAAGATTTCAGTTATTCTTTTGTTTCGTTTAACAGTTAAAAAAATGCACTAAATTTTATTGTAAAATGGAGTTTTATCTATATAAAATAAATAAATATAACAATTTTGCGACAAATGTTAGTCCTTTAAGAAACATTAACCATCTTATTCCACATTCATCTTCTCCGTTAATCTATTTTACATCAGATGTGTTCACACGAACACATATTTCACCCGGTGCCATCATCACCCACCCGTCGTGCGGAATAAACGGAAACCGGAAAAAAAAAACTCGGAAAACCTCGAAAACTACCCGAAACTGTTCCTTCGATCCGCACAAGATTGAATCCAACAAATTTTGAACAGTAAATATGCAGAGTCAGACGCGTAAAAGCGGTATAGTTTCATTGTAGGGAATCCCCGTATTTGAAAGAGCATCGAGAAAACGATATCTATTGAGGAAGATCAAACAGTTTCCGATTTAATGTTGTATAAATAAAACGGACGAGCGAACGGTGTAGGTTTCCGATACAGTGGCGGAGGGACGTATTATTTTTGACCCAGATTTGTTATTTTTTTCTTGAAATTATATAAAATAAGTTCTATAAAAGGCGTAAAATTGTGAAAAAAATGCAATAGCTGATAGAAAGGAAGTTAGTGCGTATACGTGTAATAATACGAATTGCCGCAATTTTACGTGCATGTAAGAATGAAAATTTACGAATTATTATCAAGTGGTTCTCATAAAATTTGTTTATTTATATGGAATGTAATTCAGATGGGTAATGGTTGAGGTCAAACAATAGCAGACATCAAAACTAACAGAAAAGTCGAAATCTTAAAAATTTTTCAAGAAAAAACCGTAAAGAAAGTCCATGACTACGCTGATGGCTTGTTGTCAATTCGCATAATTTATTTTTGTAGAAATTTTCAACCCTAAAATATATATTGGTCGAGTGGGTATGACGTTCAAGAAGCGTATCAATGAACGAAAACTTATCTACTTTTAAAAATCATAAATATAATTTTTCAGAATATTTTAAATGAAAACCATTCTTTTGGTGAAGTAATATACAGGGTGTTAAAAAAAAAGTGTCACAAAATAAAACGGAGGATAGTATGGGCCAAAATATGCAGAAAAGTCTTAATAAACATATGTCCGCAAATGAATGGTTTCAGAGATACGGGGTGTTTTGTGTTTTGTATCATTTTTTGATTATCTTTTTTCATTCTCAAAAACTTGCTTTTCTTATCGGAGTCTACCGATGTTTTTTCATAGATACTATTTGCAGTTATTATTTTGTTGTGGGTGAATAATTTTATAAATTTTCGTTATGCCTGTTTACACTAATATTGAATTAGCTGACATGCATTTTATGTACGGTCGTGCAAATGGCAATGCGAGGGAAGCGCTACGTCAGTATTTGAACATCTCATTTAACTCTATGTTGTTATTGATTGTTTATAAATATCATTGTTTTTTTATAATAATAAAAAATTGTTATAAACACAAAATGGTCCGTATCTCCGAAACCGTTAATTTGCGGTCATATATTTATTAAGACTTTTCTGCTTATTTTGGGTCATACTATTCACCATTTCATTTTGTGACACTTTTTTTTAACACCCTGTATAGTAAATTAACCCGGTAATATTTATAATCCTGACGAAAATATTGATTTATATATTACTCATAATTGCAAGATACACACATTAATCAAATTAGTTGCAAAAATAAATAAATAAATAAAACTTTAACTATGTTAATGTTAAACATTAAATTATCTAAATTAAATTTAATACAGAATTCGAGAGACGCTAAAATGGTGATTCCCACTTTGTCGAGACTGAGGCCCACAAGGGTAAACTCGTAGCGTAACAAAAACGAGAAATGATGTAACTTGGAACGAAAGACCGAAAGCCGCTAGTAGTATTAGGACGTTGAATTTTTTGTTTTGTGAAGCATTGGCATTACTTAGATTCAACCATGTGATGATTTTTACAAGCCTTGATTTTTAAAACCATTCTATATCGCCTTTTGATTAGGGTTTATAAACTTGTTCGTGCAATTTATCCAATAATAATTGGCCCCTTTACCTCTTAAGCCTGCTTATCTAAAATATTTGGGCTCCTTATTTCGCCTATTTATATTCTATTAATAAAGGACAGAAGGATAAGTATTGCAACTCTTAAAAGAAATATATTGGCTTTCAGTTCAGAATTATGTTCGGTACATGACTGATATTTATAAAATAAAAATAAAATAGTACCATCGCATCAGATCTATTAGAAAAAATTCAATATAATTCGCAATATAACAACTATAATACAAGAAGCCAATCTGACTTTCATGTACGGCAAGCCATCACTAAAAGTTCCCAAAATATAATTTTTATTAAAGGTTTAAAAAATTTAATAGACTGCCTACAGAAATTAAAAAAAAAAAAAACAACAATAAATGCATTCAAAAGTAACCTCAAACAATACTTGATAAATAAACAGAACGGATATACTTTCTTGTGATAATACTCTTTAAACCTGCCCTTTTTAAGTATTTCCTTTAATTTATTGTTATTTACCCATCGTTTTACCTCGTTTTAACTCGTTTAAACTCGTTTTACCTCGTTTTACTACTTACTATGTTTAAATTATTAATAGTTTTGCGACGATAGGTTATAGCAACTTATAGCTACAAAACTATTTTTGTGTTAAAGTAGATCCATAGAGAGCAATGTAATTTACAAAGGCCTTCTTTCAACATACAAATAAATGACAACTTTATAATCAAAATGAAAAATACAACAAAATACCTCGGTATCATAATTGATCAAAATTTGAAATGGGTTGATCACATTACGTCATTAAAATCCCAAGGTAAGAAATTTCATTTTTAAATTTTATGAATGGAGGAAATTTATGACGGAGTTTACTAATTATTATTTACAATTCGCTGGTTGAATATGTAATCCAAAACTGTATAATTAAAATTATCTACAAAGGATATAATCTAACTCTTTTTTATATAATAAAAAAGTGCTTTGTATAAGAACATTATATTATTTGTCTTGCTGTACCTTTATTTATGGAAAGCCTGAATTGAGATACACTACAAATTATTTGCAATAAATATCAAAAGGAGCATACATATATTTAAATAATTTGACATTTAAGGGCCATTCACACATCTTGATAATTGACAGGCACAGCCAAGCATTTTTCTGCTTTTTGCCAAATAAAATAGCCGGTTAAATATTTTAAGGGATTCCGACAGAGAGTCAGTAAATTTGTCGACGGTGTTTTTGTGGCTAGGGGCGAAATAGTAGTACGTTTAAGTTAGCACCACCATAAAAAGTTATTTTTAAGAAACTGCTTATATATTTTTCATAAATTGGCAGGCTTGGCGACTAATTTCGAATAAAAATAGCCTTCAAAAAGGCTATAGTTGCAAGTATGAAGGTCGCAACCCGCCTTAGAAATTTCACCTTTACTATCAACAGCTGTTGTTTGACAGGTCGTTAGAGAATGTTTGTAATTTATGGAATGTTGAGAATGTTAGGAATGTTGACGTTAGAAATAATTGGAATTCCTAAAATTGCCACATAAGAATTGCATAGGCGGATTTTAAGAAAATTGATATTAAAGTAGTTAGGATGAACCAATGTAGAGTTATTGTGCCGGCATACATACACACAGACGACCAAACGAAAATTTTTT